GGGGCCGGGGGCCAGGACTCCTGGGTCTGAGGGAGGAGGGGCCGGGGGCCGAACTCCTGGGTCTGAGGAAGGAGGCGCTGGGGGGCTGGAGGGGCCGAGACTCTTGTGTCTCAGAGAACTGAACGACTGCCCGTTTCCGAGCCGGTAGGATTAGGGGGCTGCTTGCCTCGTCCTCTGCCGGGCTCTGGGCGTGCTCAGGAGAGCCCTAACGCTTCTGCAGGACCTACTCTGTGTCGTGTTTGCCTGTCGCACGATGAGCAAAACCGCTTCACTCGACGGACTCTCATTTACAGTAACCGTGATGTTTATCTGAGCGCCGGGACGCTGCACCGTCTGATGTCGTCCGCAGCACGATCTATGGCTGTGCGCTCACCTAGCGGGAGTTTGTCCCTCCCAACCAGGGGGAGGGGAGGGTGGTTAGATTTCGCCTGTGGTTCACACTATCTTATAGAAACACAGTGTGCGCCAAATGTGTAATTTTCAGTTTTCTAACAGCCATGTTTTTTAAAGGAGGGGGGAACTGGTGAACTTTTAGTAATGGATTTTACTTGACCCAAATAAATATATTTGATGTAAATACCCAAAATTTGACCATTTCATTCTTTTAAATTTTTTATAGTTTATTTTTGAGACAGAGCATGAGTGGGGGAGGGGCAGAGGGAGAGGGAGTCACAGAATCTGAAACAGGCTCCAGGCTCTGAGCTGTCCCCACAGAGCCAGTTGCGGGGCTGTATCCCACAAACCGTGAGATCATGATCTAAGCCAGCCAGTGGCCCCAAAATATGACCATTTTAACACGTAGTCGTTATTTTTAAGACTATAAGATATTTTACAGGTTTTATTTTTGTACTAAGTTTTTGAAATATAGTGTGTCTGTTCCAGCCCATCTCCATTCAGATTCAACCAAGGTTCAGAGCTCGCACTTGACGTGAGGGCCCCCAACAGGGGAACTGGGAAGATGCTGTTCTAGGCCGTGGCCACAAGAGGTCACTGTGCCCACACCTGGGCATTAGGTGGGCGTTGCTGGCAAAATCGGGTCTCCACTGCCCATGTGGGAGGTCTCCTCTCTCCCCACTCGCACCACCTTCCGGGATCCCCAGGTCTGAGCCAGCCGCCAACGGCGAGAGGCACAGCCTGGCGGCAGAAATATTAAGGCCCCATCGGAAACCTTCCTTGACCTCAAGACCTGTGTGTACATGCACTCATTGATTCTGCAAATATTTATTGAGCACTTCATTTGTGACAGCCGTGAACACATAAATACCTGCCCTAATGTGAGAGGCCAAAAGAGAAAGGAGAATAAGTTGAATATATAGATGTCAGACGGTAATAAATCAGGGAATGGAAGCAAGCCCACATTGAAGCAGGTGTAGTTTAAGCGCTGACAGTTGGGTTTTCTCTTCTGTGTAAATAAAAAAAAATTTTTTTTAATGTTTATTCTTGAGAGAAAGAGAGAGAGAGAGAGAGCGAGCAGGGGATGGTCAGAGAGAGGGGGATACATAGAGTCTGAAGCAGGCACCAGGCTGAAGCAGGCTCCAGGGCTCGAACTCTTGCTGTGAGATCATGACTGAGCCACCCAGGCGCCCCTGGTTTTCTTTTTTTGTGATGCAAGTGCCTGTCTTAAGCTTTACTTGCCAAGGTTTCCAATTCAAAGATGGCTATCTCAGTAAACAGTTCCAGCCACACTACTAGATAAAAAAGCCAGGCCGGCTTCCCCCACCCACTCCAAGCATCTTTGTTTTAGAAATCTTAGCTGTTTGGGGCGCCTGGGTGGCTTAGTCGGTTAAGCATCCGACTTTCGCTTAGGTCATGATCTCGCGGTTCGTGGGTTCGAGCCCCGCGTCGGGCTCTGTGCTGACTGCCAGCTCAGAGCCTGGAGCCTATTTCAGAGTCTGTGACTCCCTGTCTCTCTGACCCTCCCCTGCTCACGCTGTCTCTCTCTGTCTTTCCTAGAGATAAATAAAACATTAAAAAAAGAAAAAAGAAATCTTAGCTGTTTTCCGTACATCACCAGCAGCTTGTTTTTCCTCTTCCCAAGCTTTAACTTCCCCAGTTTTGTTATGTATTATTATTATTATTTATTTTAATGTTTATTTTTGAGAGCGAGAGTGAGAGCGAGAGAGAGCGAGCGAGCGAGCGAGAGAGAGAGAGAGAGAGAGAGAGCACAGCTGGGGAGGGGCACAGAGAGGGGGGACAGAGGGCCGGAAGCAGGCTCCAGGCTGGCAGCAGAGAGCCTGATGTAGAGCTGGAGAACTCATGAACCAGAAGATCATGACCTGAGCCGAAGTCCGGCTTAACTGACTGAGCTACCCAGGCGTCCCCCAAGCCAATGCTTATGTTTTAAATTCATGGAGGAGTAAGCCCATGAAACCCTAGGCACCCCCCTCGACCCCAATAAAAGAACCCCAGAGATCCGTGCACCCACCCTCCACAGTGACCTTGCTGTGTGGCCCCTGGGGCACCACGTGATTTCCAGATCCTGTAAGTAATAAACTTTTTTTTAAATAAGTTTCCTGGTGGTTACTGTAGAGGGCATCTTGCAATCCTGAGAACCAGGGTTATTGATAGGCTGAGACCCATCCAAAATAGTGAGGTGGGTAGAAAGGCCTCAAGGAGAAGGTGACACCATCCAAGGTGAGGCGGTGAGCTCTGTAGATGTGAGGGAAGAGCCTTGCTGGAGGCGAATAGCAATCGCAGACGATCGCAGACCGAGGCAGGGTAATGGCGGAAGAGAGGGCTGAGAGGGAACAGAGCGTTTCGGTTTTGAGACAGAAGCCACAGAGAGTTTTGAGCAGAGGAGTGAAAAAAGATCATCGTTTTATTTACGCAGCAAACATTTCTGGTGCTTCCCAGGGGTGCCCAGGCAGCCCCAGTTCTGGCCCCCGATGGTCTCCCCGGCGGGTGGTCAGGGAGTTAGCAAGGGCACCGGGGAGCCCAGAGGTGGGGTGCCCAGCTCAGCATGGAGCGTCACAAAATGCCTTCTGAAGAAGGCAGCGTTGAAACCAGGCCCCAGAAGGTAAGTCTGAGCAGGAGAAAGGGGTGGGAGGGAGCCGAGGCTGAGAGAACAGCAGGTGCAGAGGCCTGCAGGCAAGGAGAGACCTTGAACCTGTGGGGAATGGCCGCTCGCAGGCCAGGATGGTGGGGGAGGAGCTAGCCCAGGAGGACTTCAAGGAGAAGGCAAAACAGAGCAGCAAGCAAAGGGGTGGGATGGTGCGAGTGGACGGGAGGACCATTTAAGGAGCACTCACCAAGGGCTGGTAAACCTACTAAACTCTAGGGTGTGTAAGCACTCCTGCATGAACTCCATTGCAAGAGAAGCCCTTCCCAAACAGACTGAACAGAAATACAGATGTTTGCCGCCTAGGCGGATGGCCATAGTAAATACGGACAGTCTTTTGCTGAGGGAGAAGGCCATCATGAGCATGGAGGGCAGGGCAGGGACGTTCCTGAAGCAGGAAGCCCCAGTCATCATGGAGGGGGTGGGGGGGTGTTGCCATGGTTTTGGCCTTGGTAAATGCAGCCCCTACCTAAACACCAGGGACCCTCCATTCTTGTTGAGTACGGCAGTGGATCTGTGACAGGATCGAGGCTGATGAGGTGGAAACCCCACCGTCCGGAGTTGGTTAGAATCTCTCTTCCCTGCAGGGATTTATTTTTTTTTAATGTTTTTATTTATTTCTGAGAGAGACAGAGAGACAGTGTGAGCAGGGGAGGGTCAGAGAGAGAGGGAGACACAGAATCTGAAGCAGGCTCCAGGCTCTGAGCTGTCAGCACAGAGCCCGACGCGGGGCTCGAACCCACGGACCTGAGCCGAAGTCGGACGCTTAATCGACTGAGCCACCCAGGCGCCCCTTCCCTGCAGGGATTTAGAGCTCAGTCTCAGAAAGATGGGCTTTCCCTGCCTTCTCCTAGGCTTGCGTTCCCAAGGCTGGATACTGGCGATTCGTGTCAGGTCTGAAGAGATAGAAGCATTGGGTACCGAGATTCTGGAGGAAAGAAGGCTTTGAGATAAGCTTACTCCTTCAGCCTGTTTATACAGAGCCCCACTGCATACCAGGCAGCAGACGAGACTCAGGGGACTCCACAGTGAACCTGCTAGTGAACCTTCGTGAAGCCTCGGTTGAAGTGAGAGAGATGTTACCTCATCCCACAAATGTTTACTGTGTACCTACTATGTACCAGGGCACAGACCCAGATAATGAAGGCAAAACCCCTGCCCTGTCAGAGATGACACTCAAGTGATGGGAGACAGGATCCATAAGAACAAAAGTAAATAAAACGTGAGGGACATCTGAGAGTGATAAGTTCCGCAGAGGGAGGAACAAAAGACAATAAACAAGGAAGCAATTATAGATTGAAATAAAGCACAGGAAGGAAACTAACAAGAAGAGAATATCTGCCCCAGATGAGGTGATCACAGTGATCAGGAAGGGTGTCCCAGTCAAAGGGAACAGCAAAGACAAAGACCCTAAGGTGGGACAAAACCCTCAACTACCACACAGAGAAAATCAAAGAAGTGCAGGGGACCTGAGGCACAGAGCATGATGGAGTGATGAGGTTGGAGAGATGGACATAAGCCAGACAGAATGCCTTGGAGGCATTTGGGTTTTATTCTATTTGCACTGGGGAATCATACATGGGTTTGAATCAGGTTTTAATAGGATACTGTTTTAAATTTTAAGAACATGCTGGCTGCTGACTGGAGAATGGACTTGGCATTGGTGGGGAGGAGGGTAAGAATAGGGGTCAAATGTAGAAGCAGTGAGACTAGTTAGGATGCTATTGCACCTGTCCAGGTAACAGGTAAACACGGCTTGGTGAGAGAGAAGGGCAATGGGTGGATTCCATGGCTATTTTGGTGCTAAGGTGACAGGAATTGCCAAAGTGGGAGGTGGGTGTGAGGGAGGGATCAAGGACCACTCCCAGCTTCTGACCCAAGCAACAGGGAAACGGATAGTGTCATTTACTAACAAGAAGACTCAGGGAGAGGGTGGGAGAGGACCCACCTTCGCCCACTTTTTAAACAGAAATAAATGGGAGATAATGAAGATGGAGGGAGGTGGGGCAGAAATATTCTCTGGCTGTTGACCTGGCATCAGGGGCACCCAGGAGTGCATACAGAGGCTGCCTGGCACGTAGCAGATACAGGTGCTGACTCAGAGCCATCTGAGAGATTACCCAGAAAGTTTGGGTAATCAAAGAGACACGTGAGATCAACATCAGAGGGGCATCAAGTCAGATGGGCTGAGGTTTGAATCCCACCTACACCACTTGCTCACCATGCAATGTTGGGCAACTAACCTGATTTCTCTGGGTTTTCCCCATCTGTAGAATGGGAGCGATTGTGTGTGGGCCAACGGGGGGGATTAAGAAAGATGTGGCGCATGGAGGTACTAGAAAAATTGTCAGCCAAGAGCTGGTCAGGGGCCCAATAAGGCAGAATGAGGGTCCATTTGCTCATCCCACAAACATCCATCGCATGCCGGACTGTGCCAGGGGGATGGGGACCCGGCAGAAGACTTCCTGCCCTCAATGGCACGCAAACAGATTTGAAGAGAATGGCATGGGGTGTGACAGCGGGATGCCGCAGGTTCCAATCCTGGCTATGCCACTTGCACGAGTGGTTTTTGTCTGAGACCCCGTTTCCTCACCTGCAACATGGTGCTAATAAGAGTCTCTAAACCTCATAAAGCTGCTGTGAGGATTAAGCGCGATCATGTTTACAAGGTCCCTGGCAACCTGTCTGATGTTCATTATAGGTGCAGACATAGACAGACGTTCCTGGCACAGGGACTCAGGAGCCTCAAAGGGAGAGGGGCCCTTTGGTTTTGCAGTCCCCCAGCCTCCACAGGGTCTGAGACCACCTCCCCCATCGCCCATTCCCACGGTAGCACCCTGGCCCCTATCTCCATCCAGAAGGGCTCCACCTCAGAAGCCACAAACCCCACATCCTACTCCCTGACCACAGACTCCCATGCTTCCAGAGCTGTGGGTGTCTCCGCCATGCCTGTTCTTCCACCTCAAAGGCACCCCTGACCCCTCCTGCAGCCTCCCACCGAAGCGCCTTCTGCCTGCCTTTCTTATACCCCAGTCTCTTCCACCGCTCATGTCCTCAGCTCCCCCGTTCCAGGTCCCTCCCCCCGTCACCAGCCCTACATGCTCCTGCCCTTTGCTGGAGAAAAACAAAACAAAACAAGGTCATCCAACTGTTCCCATGATGCCTCTTTAAATTCCTGATCGCCAACTTCACCTGGGCACCTTATCCACCACCCTCACCTCCCAGCCCCACCCACCCAGGTGACCCTTGAGACGAGCTGGCCTCAGTCTTCCTGGAGGAAGCAGAAGTCACCCCAAGGGCCCTCCCTCCTCTTCCTGCTGCAGGACCCACACCCCACCCGAAACCTCACCCGCCCTTTCCATCTTCCTTCCTGGAACAATGGAAGAGGCGTCTTTCCTCCCATCCAGAGCTAATCCCACCACTCAGGCAGTTGCACCATCTGCCCCTTTGTTCTCGGGCATCTCGCTTCCTGTGGTTGTTAAGAGTTGCCCGCCTGGGTTCGAATCATGGCGACACCACTCAGCGTTGTGTAAACTTGGGCGGACGACTTCCCTTCCTCATCTGTACCTTGAAGATAATAAGAGCATCTTTCTCATGACACCATGGGAAGGGTTCGGTGAGTTAACTTATGAAAAATGCACTCGAACACTGTTGGACCCACAAAGCATTGCACAAATGGAATGGACCCTCAATTCTCCTTGGGAAAGACAATAGGAGATTCAGGTGAAGGAGCAGAGAGCCCGAGAGTCCTGGAGTTTGTACGTTTCCTCTTGCACTGACCAGCTGGGTGACCTTGGACAAGACACCGCTCCCCTCTCAGCCTCAGTTTCTCTGTCAAGAGGGACAAGATAGTACCTATCCAACGGAATACACACTTTCCATGACCTCACTGCCCTCATTTCCTTCTATTCTTTCCCCCTCACTCACTCTGCTCCAGCCGTGCTGGCCTCCTCACTGCTCGCCAGACACACCTCAGGGCCTTTGCACTTGCCTCTCTTTCTGTCTGGAACAGTCTTTTCCCAGAGATCCCCAACACAGGTAGGCCTTTGCCCAAAGATCACCTCACTTGGGTTTTTCTTGACCCTACTCCTCTCCCTACTTTCTTATTATTTTTCATACACTCATAAATTATAATATTATATGTTGTACTTATTTAACTTTCTTTCTCTTGATTGCCCCTCTCCCCCTAGAATATAAGCTTCAGCAGGGTAGGGATGTCTGCCTGTTTTGTTCATGGCTATATCCTCAGTGCCTAAAACAGCGACTCATGCATAGTGAGTGCTCTGTGTTGTTGAATGGAGGGAGGGGGAGTGAAGGAAGGCACAAAGGAGAGAGAGAGAGGCAGAGGGAGAGAGGGAAGGAGGCAGGGAGGAAAGAAGCTAGCCCACAGGAAGAACTTCCTTGGCCAAACAAAATGTGGCACATCCATTAAGTGGCAGGTGATTCCACTTTAAAAATGGATAAAGAAGATGTTGTTTACGTATACACTGGAATACTCCATGGCAATGAGAAAGAATGAAATATGGCCATGTGTAGCAACATGGATGGACCTAGAGGGTGTTATGCTGAGTGAAATAAGTCCATCAGAGAAAGACAGATGCCATATGTTTTCACTCATATGTGGAACTTGAGAAACTTAGCAGAAGACCATAGGGGAAAGGAAGGGGGAAAAATAGTTACAAACAGAGAGGGAGGGAGGCAAACCATAAGAGACTCTTAAATACAGAGAACAAACTGAAGGTTGATGGGGAGTGGGGGAGAGGGGGAAATGGATGATGGGCATTGAGGAGGGCACTTGTTGGGGTGAGCACTGGTGCAATGAACCACGGGAATCTACCCCAAAACCAAGAGCAACTGTACACACTGCATGTTAGCCAGTTTGACAATTATATTTTAAAAATAATAAAATAAAAAGGAAGGAAATTCCAACACACACGACAACATGGGTGAACTTTGAAGACATCCTGCTCAATGAAATAAGCCAGTCACAAAGTGATTCCACTTCTACGAGGTACCTAGAGCGGTCATGTCCATAGAGACAGAAAGAAGATCAAGGTTACCAGGGGCTAGAGGTGAGGGGACAGGGAGATAATGTTGAATAGAGACAGAGCTCCTCTTGGGGAAGATGGAAACATTTTGGAGATGAATGGCTGTGATGGTTATACATTCATGCAGATGTACTTCAGGCCACTGAACTGCCCACTTAAAAATGATTTTAGCTGTGGGGGCACCTATGTGGTTCAGTTGGTTAAGCGTCAGACTCTTGGTTTCTGCTCAGGTCTCACGGTTCATGGGTTCAAGCCCCACATTGGGTTCCACACTGACAGTGCAGTGTCTACTTGGGATTCTCTCTCCCTCTCCCTCTCTGCCTCTCTCCCTCTCATAAAAAATAAACATTAAAAAATGCTGTTTCTTGGTTTAAGTGAATTTTGTGTTCTGTATATTTTACCACAATAAAAAAGCAAATCAGTCTTTTTTTTTTCTAGGAGAGAGAGAGAGAGAGAGAGAGAGAGACAGCGTGAGCAGGGGAGAGTCGAGAGAGAGGGAGATACAGACTCTGAAACAGGCTCCAGGCTCTGAGCTGGCAGTCCGCACAGAGCCCGACGCGGGGCTCGAACCCACGAACCGCGAGATCATGACCTAAGCGAAAGTCGGACGCTTAACCGACTAAGCCACCCAGGCGCCCCAAGTCTTTTCTTTTTAAGATTTTATTGTTAAGTAATCTTTACACCCAACATGGTGCTCAAAGGCATGACCCTGAGATCAAGAGTCGCACATTCTACTGACTGAGCCGGCCAGACGCCCCGCAAATCAACTGCTTTAAAGTGTTGAATGTTAAAGCTCAAGGGGCGCCTGGGTGGCTCAGTTGGTTTGGCGTCCGACTTCAGCTCAGGTCACGATCTTGTGGTTTGTGGGTTCGAGCCCTGCGTCGGGCTCTGTGCTGACAGCTCAAAGCCTAGAGCCTGCTTCCGATTCTGTGTCTCGCTCTGTCTCTGCCCTTTCCCCACTCATGCTCTGTCTCTGTCTCTCAAAAATGAATAAACATTTTTTTTTAAAAAGTTCAAAATAAAAAGAGGAACACAGCACTGTGCCAAGATCGCAGTGAATGGGAGCTGTTTTCATCCTTCCCTCTCTCCTCACCGACCCTAGCTGGTCACACGCCTCTTTCCTCGCTGTCTCCCAGTCCCTCCAGCCACCAAAACCTTCTAGACTCCCCCGTCCTTTTCCCCAGTGTCCACCCAGCTGTGTCCCACCCTTATGCACTTCTTCCCCAAAAAATTACCTCAACTTCCCCAACAGCACCCTTTCCTGGACTTCCTCCTAGCTCTCCCCTTGCTCCTTCTCAACCCCTCTGCCCCCTAGTCCGGGGGTCTTCCTTGGGGTCCTGAGCAGATGTCCCTGGTCCCCCCACTCCAGGCACCCTGGCTTCGGTACCACTGGTGCTAGTAACACCCCACTTCTGTCTCTAACCAGACAGCTCTCCAAAGCTCCAGACCCCGGTCCCCACTGAGGACCCTGAGCGTTCTTCTGTCCCCTGTTCAGAACTGCCCTTGGGCTTCTGCTTCTCCTGGCCACCTTCCCTCTGGCCCTCGGAGCTCTGTCACCATCCTCCTGCCCGAAGGTCTCTACTCAGTGCCCCCACCTCCTTCCCACCCCCTCACACTACCTCCAACCCCCTGGCGAACCCCTACTCATCCACAGAAGGCCCCGGCTTAGACAGCCCTTCAGGAATCCTTTCTCCAGCCTGGGGTTCCATCAGGCCCTTCCACATTCCCCGGGCCGAGTTTCCTATTGCCCATTGGTCTTTCCCGTAAGACCATAAGATCCTCGAAGGCAAGGACTCTGGCCACCTGCTCATTCATTCGATCACTCATTCATTCATCAAATATTTTCTGAGCATGTTTTTTGTTGTCATGGCCAACAACACTGCCAAGCAGGTGGGTGGAGTGGTGAGCAGGTCATCAGGGTTTTAGATTCTGGCGGGAAGAAGCTGAGTAACCTGGCCGAAGGCTCGGGGAGGTCCGAGGTGGGCTGAGGGGCAATAAGCAATAAGCAATGAAGGGACTCTATTTGTTCTTGTAGCCCCAGATGTTTGCTTGGGCTCCCCCGGGGTTCACTGAAGTCTTCTGCTTAAGCAGAAGGTTCTTTTGAGGCAGAGGGAGACCTGGCGTTCATCAAAGTCTTCCAGCTCAGCGGAGGGTCCCCGTGAGTCCATCCAATCAAAGGTTTCTGCTTGGGGCGCCTGGGTGGCTAAGTCCGTTCGTTGAGTGTCGGTCTTGGCTCAGGTCATCTCACACTCCGTGAGTTCAAGCCCAGCGTCGGGCTCTGCTCGGAGCCCGGAGCCTGCCTCAGATTCTGTGTCTCCCTCTCTCTCTGCCCCTCCTCCAGTCACACTCTGCCTGTCCCTCTCAAAATAAATAAATAAATAAAAATTTAAAAAGTTTCTGCTCAAGGGGGCGGGGCTTGTGTCTACCAGGAAATTCGGTTTGGTGGCTGTTTGTTTATTTTGAAGCCCTTGTTAAAAAAAAAAAAAAAAGACAAGACATATTTATAGACTCCGAGAAGTTGCACCCCTCCCCTCAGCTTGTCCCCTGGTGGAGATCAGACCCAGGAAATCAATGAGGGCTGTTAGCTAGACTACAGGTCTCCTTCCAGGTCACCCCTTCAGGTGCATCTGTTTGCCCGTGTGCATGCATGCAAACATCTGTTTCTACGTAATGTTACCTCCTGTGTAGATCCAGATCACCACAAGGGCCCCCAGACCTCCTGTGTCCCCGGGGAGGGGTGGGGGGTCTTTCCTTCTGTTCAGCACCCTGCCCTCCAGAGCCGCCTACAGCCCCAAGCCCCCCAGAACCAATTTACAGGAAAGAGGTGCACACAGGGGGTCTGTGGATTCAGACTCACCGAGTGAGCCCCCAGGTGCAGAGACAGAACTAAGCAGCAGCCCCGGCAAAGAGGCAGAAAAGTGGTTTGGGAGGCGGGGGGAGGGGGGAAGAGGGAGGTAAGGAGGGTTGTTGAGAGAGGGAGAGTGCACAGGCTGCTACCTGAGTCACCCTGCCCTGCTCGGCCCAGGGACAAATTGCAGTCATTAGGGAATTTAAGAGGCTGGGGAGGCACTGTACTGAGGACTGTGTGCCCTGGCCCTGCCCCCAAGTTAGGAGGGGTCCTTTGGACCCAGGGCACCTCCTTGGACTGTCTGGAGCCTCCCCCCACCTCACCATTGTCTCCCTCCCTCTCTCTGCGTCACCATCTCTCACTCTGTCCCCGCCCCAGTTCTCCACTGGTCCTCCTCCTCCGTGCTGGGGTCCCTGCACCCCAGACTCTCAGGACTGTGAGAACCACAGAGCCAGAAAGCCTAGGGGACAAGACAATCCCAGGTGTCTCCTTCCCTTCTCAGCCCCACCCCCTGCCTCCCTCCTGGCTGCTGTCACCTTCCATCTCTGCCTCCCTGTCTCCTCTGTCTGCATCCCCACCATCTGCTGTACCCTCGCTCCCTTGGCCACCCCCTCATCTGCCTGATTCTGCATCTTCCTCCCCCTTCTCCAGTGTATCAGCACTTCATCCTCTGGCCCTCTTGCTGTTATTCTCTGTGTGTTTGTGGGGGTGGGGATGGGGGGTGTGATCCTGACTCTCTTCTCTCTTCACCCAGTTCTCTTCCTTTGTGTCTGTTTCCGTTCTGCCTTCAGTGTCTTTCCTCTGTCTTTCTTCTTCTCTCTTCGCTTTCCCACATTCCCTTCTCCATGAATCACTGTCTCTGTGCCTCCGCTGCCGCACTGTGTCCCCCCTCACCTGCCTCCTCTGTCCCCATGTCCACATTCATCTTGCTTCTCCTTCCCCATCTCTCCCTAGTCTCTCTCCCCCGACACTTGTCTCTCCCGGTCTGTAGTTCTCCGACTCTTTCTCTGGTTCTCCACCTTCTTATGTTACCTCTCTTACATTTCCCAGTCTTCTCTGTGTCTCTGTCCCCCACCCCCAACCCCTCCCAGCACCTTCCCCTGAGCCGCCCACCCTGTCCACCCTGCCCTGGAGTCCCCCCTCCCTAGGTTCCTCCCAGATTAAACACCTTCCCTGGGCGGGTTCTCATTAATGTGGTGGCTGCTTCTCTGACCAGAGAGGGGAGGGAGGAGATGGGACCAGGGAGTCCTAGAGTCCTGGAATGGGAAATAGACAATTAAAAAATGTCAGGAGAAGGGCGGGGGGGGGGGGCAGGGCCAGTTGCCCCGGCCAGGGATAAAAAGCCTCCACAGAGTGACAGGGAAGCAAGACACCACCCCCACTTCCTGTATCTGCAGAGACACATCCATGTCCCTGAAGGTCTTGGTCTCTGTGTAAGGCCTTGTCTGTCTCTTGCAGCCTCCTTTCTCTCTCACTCTCTCTTTCAATTGCCAGAACCTGCCCCCCAGACCCCAGAATGCTCCTGCTTCTGACAGCACTCCAGGTGGTGGCTCTAGGTAAGACAGCCGCGGGGGCTCCCGAGTACGGCAGTCCCCTAGACACGCTGAGAAGAGATGGGGAGGGTTCCCCGGGGCCCTGGGGTGCTCAGGGATGGCCTGATGGGAAGGCGTGGGGGTGGGTCGAGGGTCATGACTGTGGGGCATGCAGAAGGGGTTGTGGAGATATCAGGATGCAGGAGTCACAGCAGATGGGGAAGAATACATGAGGAATTGGAGAGAAGCACCCAGTGCTGTCTAGGCTTTATTTAAAAAGGAGGGCTGCAAAACTGATGGAAGGAAGGCATGTTGGTGGTGGCGACTGTGGGCGCGATGTCAGGCGGGGTGGGGGTGGGTGAGACAGTGGCTCCTGGGGGCTCCAAAGAGTGGGAAGGGTGGAAAAAGGGCAGGGATCTCCTTGAATGTGTCGGAGAAGGATTAATGGTGGTACACTGTGGAAAGTGATGGTAGAAAGTATTCGTGGGAGAGTAGGGTCAAGGGGAGTAGGTATGTCAGGGCCCTGGATGAGGCGGCCGTGGGAGCAAGCGATATCCTATGGAGGTGATGGTGGGGGAGGAGTGGGTGTCAGAAAACTCCCTGACTGTGTTGGGGCAGTAATGGAGGCAACATTGGGCGTGTCTTATAGAGGGTGGGACAAATAGAGGTGGGTGGTTTGGGGGTTAGGGAAAGAAAAGGGATCTGTGGGTCCCAGACATCCCAGAGTTGGGTGGCGGAAAGCATTTGTTCATCTGCTTTCCCCACTCCACCCCACCTCGGCCTGTTCCTAGCCATGGCGCAGAGCCAAGAGAATGAGGACAAGATACTTGGTGGTTATACATGCATCCAGAACTCCCAGCCATGGCAGGCGGCCTTACTGGCAGGTCCCTTTCGTCGTTTCCTCTGTGGAGGGGTCCTGCTGTCAGGCCAATGGGTCATCACCGCTGCTCATTGCTCCCGCCCGTGAGTAATCCCCTCCCCTATTCCTGTGTAGGGTGAATTCCAGAGTCTAGAGCCCCAGAGGTCAGCTAAGAACATAGAGCATTGTGTTGAACCTAATGTAGTAGCTAGATCCTGGTTTGAGGTCTAGATAAGAGCTTAGAATTACCGACACAGCTCAGCATATAGAATCCAATCATAAATCTTGAAGTCGGTTTAGATTCTGAAAGCAGATTGACAGTTTAGAACCCATAGGCCAGCTTAGACTTCCACACAAAAATTAGAACCTAACATACCTGGAGATCTATCTAGAGGCCAAACTCTACATAGGGACCAAGATTAAGAGCCCATTCCAGATTGGTGGTTCAACTGAGGGCACAATCTACATTCAGAAACTTAGGACCCCTCTCAGAACACTGCCTAGAATCCAAAGTCTAGTCTAGAACCTGCAGTCCAGCCATAAATCCAGAACCCTGATTACAGCTAATCAGGGTACATACAGCACAGAGTGTAGGATAGACAGAACCAGAGCCCATTCTAGGTGCAATGTTTAATTCAGAGTCTAGTCTATGACTCCTTTTGAGAAGCCTAGAACCCAAACCTCAACCCAGTGTCTAAATCCCAGAATGCAGACCATAATCTGATGTCTCATACACAACTCAGAGCCCTTTCAAAAGTCTAGACCTAAACCTAGAACCCAGATCCCTGACAAAAGCTCACCCAGTGCCTATAAACACTAAGATCCAATTCCATAAATTAAAGTCCAGTGTCGAACCTAAAGCCCAGAAGTCAAACCAGTGTCTAGAATGCAAAGTCCAGAATACAAGACAGTATCCAGAAACTTGGATCCAAGCCATAACCTGGAGCTGCATCTAGAATCCAGGGCTCAATCTGAGGTCAAGAGCTCAGACCAGAGTTTAGAAGCAAGAGCCCAGACCATAACTGTAATTCAATCTAAAACAGGGTCGAACCGAGAATCAAGAACTCAGACTGATGTTTAGGACCCTAAGCTCAAAGACAGAGATCAAACCATTGTCTAAAACCCAGGTCATAAACCAGTTTAAGGAAGAACCCAGAACTCAATCTAGGAACTGAAGCACATATCCATGTCCAGAATCCATAGCTCAGATCATAGTCCATTGCTCAATATAGAATTGAGCCTACCCTAAAACTAAAAGCTCAAGTCAACATCTAGAACCAAGGCTCAAACCATAATGCCGAGCTCAAAATAGAATCTGCAGCCTATCCTAACACCAAAAGCTCATACCCATATCTAAAAAGTATGCCATGATCCAGACTCAATCTAGAGAACCCAGATCCTAGCTTCAACTCAAAAGTTCAGAACGTCTAGGACCCAGAAGCCAGGCTGGAACCAGGATGGAGCCTCTCAGGAGGCTCCTCCAGGATATCAATTCTGACTTAGAGTCCAGAGTCTCACTTGGAACTCAGAGTCCAGAACCTGGCACTGAGACAAGAACTCCCAACCATCACCTTACACCCAATGTATGTGGATGGTGGGACGGACCCAAGAGAGAGGCCAAACTAAGGGAAAGAGCGCAGGAGTCCGGCTAATGCTCCAAAAGTGGGTTCGACTTGTGAAAAACTTATCAGCAGGGAAGGGAAAGGAGCCAGAGGATGGGGAGAGGTCTCTCACTCAGATCCTGAGCAGTGCTACTTTTGGGGGTCATGGGCCAGGATCCTTCACGTAGCCCTGGGCAAGCACAATCTGAAGAACTGGGAGGCCACCCAGCAGGTGCTGCGTGTGGTTCGCCAGGTGCCACACCCCCAGTACAACTCCCGGACCCACAACAACGACCTGATGCTGCTGCGGCTGGAGCGGCCTGTTCGGCTGGGGAGGGTGGTGAGGCCCATTGCCGTGGCCACTTCCTGTGCCAGCCCAGGGACCCCCTGCCTCGCGTCGGGCTGGGGCACCACATCCAGCCCCATTGGTGAGTACTTCCCTATCCTGGAAACAAGGGGCCGGGGGGCTGGACTTCTGGGTCTGAGGAAAGGAGGTAAACCCGATTTGTAACTCTTCAGTGCCCCCCCAGCCAGGTACCCCAACTCCCTGCAGTGTGTGAACATCAACATCTTCTCGGATCAGGAGTGTCGGCGGGCTTATCCCGGAGCCATCACTGCTGGCATGGTCTGTGCAGGTGTCCCCCAAGGGGGGAAGGACTCTTGTCAGGTGAGGCCCAGTGAGGAGAGCTGGAGGAAGGGGATTGTTTGGGGCTGGGGCTTGGGTACAAAAGGATCTTAGGAGCATGAGAATCACTGGAGGCCTCCCCAGAAACTGGGAGAGATTGTAATAGTTGGGCTGCCTCCTAGCTGTACACCCTTGGGTAAGAGACCTAATCCCTCTGTGCCTCAGTTTACTCAACTCTCAGGTAGGGGTAGGACCTCTTAGGGCAGATGGTAGAATTAGATGTGGAAGGAGCACAGAGTGGTGCCTACACTTAGCTCTGATAACTGCTCCCATTGCTGTTATTATATATGGGCAGCTGGGAAATCTGTGCTCAGCATCTCTAGAGGCTTGAGAGGTGACTCCAGAGACGGGGAGATGTAAAGAGGCATACACGGTTTTCTAGAGCGGCAAAGTGAGCCCCAAGGGGCAGAGACAGCAGGGAGCACTGAAGAGGAATGGCAGTGATATCTCCAGAGCCCTGCTCAGGTGTCTCAGCCCACCTGCTTCTCCATCTCTGTCTCTTGAGTTCTCCACACCCAGTGGCTCTAGCCATCTGTCATCCATTGGTGTCTCCATTTCGGCCTCTCCCCTTCAGGGTGACTCCGGGGGACCTCTGGTGTGCAAAGGAGAGCTCCAGGGCCTCGTTTCATGGGGGATGGAGCATTGTGCCCTGCCCGGCTACCCTGGGGTCTACACCAACCTGTGCAAGTACCAGACCTGGATCCGGAAAACAATACGGAGCAAATGATTGTTGACGTGACTTAACAGCAGCTGCCCACCTGCCTCCCCAGCCCCCTCCTCCCTCAGACCCAGGAGTCTGGGCCCCCAGCTTCTTGATTGGGACCCCTGGCCCAGAACTCCCCTTTCCCAGAGAGGTTCCTTCAGGTTTGCTCTCCGCACCCACACAACACCATTATTCAGGACCCCTTAGGTACGGGACAAGAGCGTGAAAACACAAAACTAGCACCGTATCCCAAAGAAGAGATTTTTCAAAGCTTAGTGTTTCTAAAAACCAGGTAAATAATAATAAAAATGGAATAATTCTAAATTCCATTCACCTGTTCATTGAATTTATCCAACAGATGCTTACACAGTGGCTTCATGATGCCCACCTGGAAGCCATGTTCCTGACAAGTGGCTGAACGGGGTATGCGTTGCTCCCTGGGGGGCACCCTCCATCCACTACAGCTGGTGTGGTAGAGGGCGACGCCCGCCTTGCGGTCATGACCTTGAACAAGACCACCCCTCCCGAGGCCAGGTCCTATGATCAGGGGCTGCTGAGGTCCAGAGCAGAGAAGGTAGAGATCCACCTTGTTTCTTGGAAAACTCTATGCAAATAAAAAGGTCCTCTTTCTCCTAATCAGATGTCAGGTGAGGAGAGTTGAGTTAATCATCCACTGGAGTTCAAGTCCTGACAGCTCTGCTCTCATTTTATTTCTTTATTTCCATCTGTCATCCCTGGCTCCAGTCTCCTCCCTCCCCACAGGCACCAACACAAACGGCCTTGAACACCGTGCATCCTTGCAAAACACACCTGTCACAATGTGTTGCTTCTCATTTACATGAAGCCATTATGTTATGGATCTCATTCTTTTCCTTACTTTCATCCATCAAAGACTATTTATTGGAGGGGCACCTGGGTGTCTCGGTTGGTTAAGCCTCTGACTTCAGCTCAGGTCATGATCTCACTGTTCGTGAGTTCAAGCCCCATGTCAGGTTCTGTGCTCAGAGCCTGGAGCCTGCTTCAGATCCTCTTCTCCCTCTCTCTCTGTCCCTCCCCCCACTCTCTCTTGCTCAAACATAAACAGTTTTAAGAAATTAAAAATAGAAGATGAGTTAGTGCACCAGGCATTGTTCTAGGTGCTGGAAGTTGAGCTGTGAACAAGCTAAATGCCTCCCCCCACAAAGCTGACACTGGCAGGGGGTGATAGACAGGAAATAACGAACATCATCTAAAAGTACAACAGAGGGGCACTGGGCTGGCTCAGTCAGGGGGGCACATGATCCTTGATCTTGGGGTTGTGGGTTCAAGCCCCAACTTAGGTGTAGAGATTACTTAAAAATAAAATCTTCAAGGTGTACCTGGGTGGCTCAGTTGGTTGAGTGTCCAACTCTTGATTTCAGCTCAGGTCATGGTCCCAGTGCCATGGGATTGAGCCCCACATTGAGCTCCAGAGCCTTCTTCAGATTCTCTCTCTGCCCCTCTCCCTCACTCACACTCTCTCTCCTTCTTTTTCTGTCTCTCTAAAATTAAATACATACTGGGGTGCCTGGGTGGCTCAGTAGGTTAAGCATCTGACTTCAGCTCAGGTCATGATCTCATGGTTCGTGGGTCCGAGCCCTATGTCGGGCTCTGTGCTGACAGCCAGCTCAGAGCCTGGAGCCTGTTTCCGATTCTGTGTCTCCCTCTCTCTCTGACCCTCCCCTGCTCACGCTGGCTCTCTCTCTCTCAGAAATAAATAAAACATTAAAAAATTATAATAAAATTAAATACATACATAAACAAACAAATAAAAGAAGTTGGTGAATGCTTTTTTTTTTTTTTTTCTTTCTTGGAGAGCTTAAATCCTTACCTTGGAGAATTAACCCTGGGAAAATCCTTGGAGAGTTAAATTCTCACCAGTGCAGTGCAGGACAGCTGTGCCTAGGAATGACCTGACCATCCTAGCATCTGTCTCCTCGTAGCTCTGCACTGGGATACTTCAGAGCTCAGACAGAGTGGAAGGCAGTGTGGCCTCACCAGTGTTCACATGCTCTGCTATGAGGGACACCACAGGATCCACAAGTTCTCAGGTGCTGGGTCTGGGACTGGCATGGCTACAGAAGCTCCAAAGATTGTCAGGTCATGGAGGCTGCACCTTGTGTCCAGGTGATGCAGACACACCTTGGCTCACATATGCGACAGCCATACAAGCTCTGTGTACTGAGGTACCTTCAGGCCTCCAGTGAGGGGACGATACAGCCATGCTGTAATTCTTGGCCTGCATCCTTCATTAACGATAAATAAAAGTAGTTTAGATCAAAGATTACTTTAATCTGATTTCCAAACATATACTCCCTGCTATGATTGGTTCAGTACTACATTTTATTGTTTCTCAGGTGCACATTCTTTCACATTCAACAATCTGAAAATGGGAGGCATCTTACAACCAATAGTGTCTTAGAATTAGATCATGATTTAATCGACATCTTCTTTCTCTATTTCAGAGGTATGTAAAGTAATAGTGCAAAGACAATCAGCAACATCTTAAATTGAATGAAGTAGGGTACACAGAAGGTGGGTGTAGGTGAGGAGTCAGGTTGAGGTATTTTTCTTTTTAAGTAGGCTCTATGCCCAATTTGGGGCATGATCTCAAGACTCTGAAATCAAGGTTCACGTGCTTTACCGACTTGAGCCAACCAACTGCCCCAAGGTTGAAGTATTAAATATGTGATCTTATTCCACCAAACACTGTGTTGCTCATGTGTTCATATTGCTGTTCATTCATCTAGTTTATTGCTTCTAACTGCTACAGAGTCTTCTCCACGTGTGCAGTCCAATGTGGTAGCCATTAGCCACATGTGGTCATTTAATTTTTAAATTAAAATTAGCTAAATTTAATATACATTAAGATTCCATTCATTAGCTGCTCTTGCCACATTTCCGGTGCTCAAGAACCAGGTGGCTAGTGGCTGCCATGTTGAGCAGTGCTGATAAATAGAATATTTACATTATCGCAAGAAGGTCGATTGGAAAGCACCACTTTCTTCTCAAAGTGTGATCCAGGGAGTAGTAGCATCAAAACTACCTGGAGCTTTTGAGATGTCAGTCTTGGACCCCACCTCAGACCAAAAGGACCAGAATCTGCATTTTAACAGGATCATCAGGGACACAATGCATATAAAAGCTTGAGAAGCACCATGACATACACCCACCATGTTTAATGACCCAGCTCTTCAATGATGGACACCCAGGTTCCCTCCACTACCCACTTAATAGTGCAATGACTATTTGGGGGCATGCCCCTTCTGTGCCTATAGAAGACTTTTCCAGAATATTCACAGAAGTGGGACCATTGAACCAAAAGTCCTACTCTTTTTTTTTTAATTTAATGTTTAATGTTTATTTTTGAGAGAGAGGGAGACAGAGCACAAGCAGGGGAGGAGCAGAGAGAGGGAGACACAGAATCTGAAGCAGGCTCCAGGCTCTGAGCTGTCAGCACCAGAGCCCAACACAGGGCTTGAACCCACGAACTTTGAGGTCATGACCTGAGCCAAAGTCGGGTGCTTAACCGACTAAGCCACTCAGGCGCCCCAAAAGGCTTACTCTTAATCAATATCACCAGGTACTAGCAGGTTTTTGCCCAGATAGAAGGATTCCTATCTCCTCCCACCCTCAGCAATGCCTGCAGTTCATTCATTAGGCCAGCAAAGATTCACTGAATTTTATTATACCCAGTACTGTTCTAAAACAAAACAGATAAATACCTCTGTCCCCCAAGGAACTCACTTCTAGAGGAGAGGCAGACAGGAAATAAATAAATGAATAAATAAATACATAAAGTATTACAGATGGGAGTGAGTGCCTTGGATAAAAGTAGAGCAGAGTAAGGGGATAGAGAATGTCGGAGGGTTACGATTTTCAAGAGGTGTTGAACAATGAAGGGTGGTTAACTCAGCAGGCTTGAGCTGCTTATAACCTGAGCAGAAAGAAAAGTTTGGGAGCTCCTGGGGGGTTCAGTCGGCTAAGCATCCAGCGTTTGATTTCAGCTCAGGATATGATCTCTCAGTTTGTAGGTTTGAGTCCCGTGTCGGGCTCTGCACTGACAGTACAGAGCCTTTTTGAGATTCTCTCTCTGCCTCTCCCCTGCTCTCTCTCTTTCTCAAAAATAAATAAACTAAAAAAAATTTTTTTAATAAAATAAATAAATAAGAAAGAAACGTTTGGCCTTGGTGTGTTATTCTGCCTGATAACAGTGTCTTAGATGACCTAGAGGCCATGTTGTGCCACGTGGTATATTCTAATAAAAATGACTTGGTGGGGGTGCCTGCATGGCTCAGTCAATTAAGCATCCGATTCTTGATTTCGGCTCAGGTCATGATCTCACAGCTCCGTGGGTTAGAAACCTAAATTAATGCTCTGTGCTGACAGCATGGAACTTGCTTGGGATTCCCTCTCTCCCTCTCTCTGTGGCTCCCTCACTTGTGCTATCTTTGTCTCTCTCAAAATAATAAATAAACTTTTAAAAAAATGATATGGTAAAGGCCTTGGGGGCACATTGTTATCAGTTTGACCTCTTCAGGGGCTAGAGACTAAGGTCAGCCATGCAAGCAGACAGCCATGTGCCCATGTGACTGACCCCCAAATAAGAGCCCTGGACACGGGAGGTTCCATGGTTGGCAGCACTCTGACTGTGCTGTCACACATCGCTACTGGGAGAAACAGGCAGTGTCTGCACAGATCCATTGAGAGAGGACATCCGGAAGCTTGTGGCTGGCCTCTCATGAACTCTGCCTGTGCACCCTTTTCCTCTGCTTATTTTATGCTACATTCTTTTACTTTGTAATAAATGAAAACCACGAGTGTAGCAGCTTCCCTGAGTTCTGTGGAGTCCTTCTACTGATTTGTTGAACCTGTCCTGGGAATTCCAAACTATGGTGGCCAAGAAAGTCTTCAAAGAGAAGATGAGAAGAATGGATGCGACCAGACATCTGGCTTGGAAGAGTCCTCTCATCAGGGGAACAGCAGGTTCTGGGAGTGAGCTTGGCATGAGAAAGGTGGGAAAGAGGAGGGGGTCGATGATGTCATATGACCACGGGGGCTGGACGGTCTGGAGGCTTGTCAGCCACCGTAACGGCATGGGATATTCACTCTGAGCAACGTGTGGCACTGCAGGGTTTTGAGAAGAGGAGTGATCTGCTCTGACTTACGTTTTCTTAAAAGGTCACTCTGGCTGCCTTCGTCAAAAATAGAATGAAGGCGGACAAGGCCAGGAACA